ACAACCAGGACTCTTCCAAGAGCTGGTTGCCCGGCCAAACTGAGCAATTGGGGGAGAAGAGCCATAGTAAGAGGGGGTCTGAATACTTTCCAAATACACTGTATATTGGATTTTGAGAAATAGTTTCACGGTGATTCCCCAGGAAGATTGTGAGCAAATCTAAGTAAGTACCTCTTCATGTTTGGAGTTATGTAAGTTCTATAATATCATGAATTGTATTTTATATGCAGTACAACCTAGAATAACAGCATCTTTTTAAGTTTATAAAGAAAATTGAATTTTTTACCTTTGCAAAAAAACTGTGTAATTTACCATGTCAGGCAACTAATATTCAAAGTAAAAAAAGAAGAAAAAAAGTTAAATTTATCCATTAAGAATACCCCTTTAAAAATAGCATGTGTGCTTAAAATCTTCCAGGTGTAGCAACACATAGCAAAAATGGGAAAGTATATATTTTTTAAAAGAATCTAGATCTAGAGGATAAGGCTGGCTGGGGAATTGCTAGAATGAGGCTATTTAACTGGATCCAGTTAATAGCACTGGAAAAAATATTAAGCAATGGGACTTTAAATCATTAGAATTGCATCACTTATATATACTCCAAAAGATCTCCAAAATTAAATGAATATAGCACTTGATTTCAGTTATATCTGGATGGCCAAAGTTCCCTGGTTTGTTTATTTCATGGCATCATTTTAGGGGTGTAAATACATGGATGCACCACAGGATCGTCATCTAAATAAGATATCATTTATCATAAGCTTTCTTGAAACTAAATGGAGACAAATCATTTCCCACTTATTCAGCTGAATTTAAATCATTCTTGTAACAGACTTAATGAGCAGCTGTGAAGCACAAAATAAAAACTATGTGTGCTACCACTGAAGTTCAAAATGAAATCTCAACCAGTCTGTAGAGAGAAAGGGGGAAAAAAAAACAGCTTTACAAAATAGCTCAGCAAAATATTACTCTATGGCAATGTTTCTCAACCTTGGGAACTCGAAGAGGGGTGGACTTCAACTCCCAGAATTCCC